AAGACAAACATGAGGAGGTAATCAGGCAGCTAGGGTGAGCTCAGAGGGAGGCCTCCATGGGGAATATGAATGGGGAGGCACCAGCAGAGAGAGGTGTGGAAGCCACAGCTCTACAGCTCAGGAAGGGAACGGACAGAGGGTAGTATATGTTGAGGAGCAGGGTAGCAGCAGATAGGAGGCAAAGCAGAGATGCTGTAAACACAGCAGAGTCACACAAGGCCAGCCTTGATTGTACCAACACTGTGCACAGCCCAGGAAGTGCTCATCTCTCTTGCAAACCTGCACAGCCTCAGCAGATTTGGGAAGAGCAGGTTCAGTGCACAGGGGTCTGAGAGCCAGGGCAGCAAGGGCTAAAGAACTAGAGGAAAATGAAATGCAGATATTTCCTGAAAGAAGTTTTACTGTGGATAAAACCCTGATAAGCTGCAATGGAAACTGGGAAGATGTAGGAGTTAGGGAAGACAGTGAAGTGTGCTCGTACACAGCTAGAGAAGACCCAGTAGTAGACAGCAACAGACGATTCACACAAAAGAGAAGAGAGGTGGCTGGAGGAGCTGGCATCGTGCCCTGTCCCTGCCATCACATGGCTGCAAACTTAGTGACATCAGAAAATATGCTTTCATTCTGGAAGTCAGAGTCCAAAACCAGTTTCACTCAACTAAAATCAAGTTGTCCACAGGACGGACGGTCCCTCTAGAGGGTCTAGGACAGAATTCTAAAACCCCTTTCCTCATCTTTTCCAGCCTCCACCAGGGTAACCCTGCTCCCTGCACATTCCTCTGCCCCCTAACCAGCACTGCAGCATCTTCAAACCTCTCTGCTTTTTGTCTCATTGTCTCTAAAGCCAATGTCTCCCTGCCTCTCTTTACAGGGATGCGCATGATCACATTTAGGGCCCACTCAGAGTAATCACGGCATGCCAAGGTCCTTAATGAAGTCACAGCTGCACAGGCTCTTGCCATGTAAAGTGACACTGAGAAGTCCTAGGAATCAGGTCCTGAATGTGTGGGGAAGCGCAGCAGGACTCTGCAACACTGGCCTTTTGGGGGGCAACGGCTGCTTCCTTCCTCTTTCATAAACAGAGGAAACAGGAGAAAGGGCCCATGGAGGGGAGAGGTTTGGCAATAGCGAGATGAGAGTTTGTGTTATGGCCTTGACTTTTCTGAGAAGCATGGAGTGAAACTGACCACTGAGAAGGACAGAGACTGAAGTGGGAAAGATGGCAGTGGGGGGAACCTGGAACAAGAAGCCCCCAGCTCAAGAAGATTATGGAGCCACAGAGAAATGTGTTTGATGATCTAAAGTGAGCCTGGGGAGAGTCACATGGAGAGAAAAAAACATTTTCTCAAGCTTTCACAGATAGCAAATTGGTCAAGCAATGGCAGTGACTCATCCACATGTCAGACACTGACAAAAGGATGTACAAAAGGTGGTACAGAGCTACAGGATAAATCCTGAGGGTACTTGGCTGACCTTATCAGATAAAAAAGTTAATTTCTTGGTATATAGGTCTTGCTATATCTTGGTCTTAACCATCCAGCAGAAAAGTATAAAAAAGAGGTATATAAAGTAAATCCATAGTAATACAATGAGCTGTAAAGGGCTCAAGTCAATAACTTCTGAGGATAACCCACTAATATTATAGACTGCTAGACAGTGTTAAATTGTTTAGTTGAATTCAAACACTTATAGTATTTAGATGCCAATAGAATATACAACTCTGACAGGACAAAAAAAAATTTTTTTTTAAAAGATACAAAGGAAAGATCATTTTGTATTTATATATACAAAATAGGACAAATTTACAGCTACTTTCGCTTAACTCAATGAGAAGAAAGAGGTGTGCTAACAGCGTTTGGACAGAATATCCTGTCTGCTTCTTGTACTATGGAATACCACTAAGAAGATAACAATGTACAGTGTATTGAATATCAAAACTGTCCTATTAATCAGCTGTGAAACTGTCTCATTCATATTTATTTCTCAATAAAAAATAAATATATATATATATATAAAAAGAAGCCCCCAGAAAAGGGAAATCAAGCTACCCAGAGTATGTGGTGGGTTCCAAAGAGGGGCAACTTCTCAATCAAGGCTTATCTTTCTTGAGGGAAACTCTTGCTGGATTGTGTGGTTTTTCTCTAAAGGAGTTTGGCTGTGTGGTCAAAGGCACAAGGAAGGCAGAAATGGAGCTGGCCAGTGTTTGAGGGGAGAGCGTGGCATGCTGGGAAGGAAAGCATGAGAATCCCTGGGGGTCTGCCTTGGTTAAGAGGCCAGAGAAGGTGTGGCGGTTGATGGGAGGGTGGTCTTGGGAGCCCAGACGTCATGGTGAGGGGTCCTCCACAGGGGTAAGTTTCCAGAGCAAGTCTTTGAGGGATGGGCTGAGGGATGTCCCTTTTGTGGTGGACAGCCTTGGTTGCTGCAATGAAATGCCTGAGACAGTTGACAGACTTAATTTGGCTCATAGTTCCACAGGTTTGGTACACAATCAGTTGGGCCTGTGGCTTTAAGGTCTCCAGTGAAGCAGTGCATCATGTCATGAGCAGGTCGTAGAGCAAAAGCACTCACCCAGGCCATGCCAGGGGCTGGTGTGGGGACGGCTTGGGCCCAGAAGTCCCCTTGAAGGGCATGAACTCCTGATCCTACTTCTTCAGGGCTCCACCCTCCCCCCCCACCAACAGAGCCCCCTGGGGACCATGCATTCCACAGATGGGCCCTTGGAGGACATTCAAGATCCCAACCAAAGCACTGATGCTTCAGTGCTGGAGACCATGCATGCCTACAGTTCTGAGCACAGCGTCAGGGTCTCCCTTTAGGAGGGAGTCGCCAAGGCATAGAGACAGAGACTTCCTCTTATCTGGATGCTGCAGACAGGAAGGAATGGAGACCAGGAAGGGGGAGGGAGCCGGGAAGCAGGAGCCAGGACACCAGCCCTGCACTCTGAGTGTCTAGGAAGCCCGGAAGGCATCCAGGAGAAATGGCCAACACAGAATGGTGGAGGATGCCATACTTATGGTGTCCATCTAATGGGCCTGAGGGTTTTTCAGTAGATGAACTATTTTGAAAGGGCAACAGGAAACAAGGAGGGCACTTGTCTGCCCTTCGGGCTATGAAGGATTGAGGGGGAGTTAGAGACCAAGTAGCCGGCCGCTGAGGGGACTCCCACAGCTGTGCTCTACTGAGGCCAGGCAAGAGGCTTAAAGGACCACTGATCCTTTGTTGGCACATCCCACTCTCCCAGGAGGGGTGTGGGAGGCGCACGCAGTATTGGGGCACATAAGGATTCAAATCTTCTAATAACGAATTATTAACAACGATCCCTGAATTTCTAGCAGTAAGTTTCTGTAAGTTTCATATCAGCCAAAATGGAACCCTAGCACAGCAGGCCTGGACCGCAGATGCAGGAATTTGCATTTTAGCTCCCACACCAACGCCACTGGAGCAATGGCTGGGAGTGCTGGCGCAGGCTCACGCGCACTGTCACGGTCAAAGTCAGGCTTTAGGAAATAATCACGAGCCTTTTGAAGGAAGGACATGGGAAGGCGACTCCAACAGGCCAGGTCTAGAAAGGTGGTTGGTTTGAATTTGAGGCACGAAGAGCTGTGCGAACCCTGGAGGAGCCGCCTCTTCCTCCAGCTTAAGTGGTAGGGTGTCGGTAAGCCTTGGTTAAGCATTTATTAGCGGCTGACTCTGAGGCAGGAGGAGGGTAAGGGCGGGTGATTCAGCGAGCACTTCAAGCGGGTCAGGAAAAATTCTCCCTAATTTAGCGCTAGATCCTCAGGGCAGGGCGAAGCTTCAGTGTCAGCGCTGGGCCCCGCCAGGCGTGTCTCGTAGCCACCCACGGCCGGCCGGAGCAGGCTGCGCCAGGCCCCAGCGGGCCAGCGCTCCACAAGGGGCCTCCAGTGCCCTACGCAGCGCAGCGAGGGCCGGGCAGGGCGGCCGCTAGGAAGGCAATTTAAATTTAGTTCAAGTCTGGCCAGGAATCGGACTCCTTCAGGTGCCAATCCGCCCACTTCTGCCCTCTTCCGCACCTTCAGGTCGCAGTGCGCCCAGGTGACCGAGGCCAGCCTGGCCCGCGGTGGCCTTCCGGTCCCTTCCCTGTGTTCCCCGCCGAGGTGGGCGGAGATGGCACCACAGAGAAGGCGGTGAGAGGCCTGCGTCCGGGGAGGCGCGGCGCTAATGGCAATCGCCCTGGGAAGGGTCGGAGGCCACGCACAGACCGCGGCCCGGGCTTGGGCACCCTGGCGCCGCCCCTCCGCGCAGGGTGCCCCAGGTCGGCTCGGCAAGCCCAGCAGGAGGGCAGAGCGCGGGCGGGGCTTGAGTGGGGGGCGCGGGGCGGGGCTTGGGTGGGGCGGGGCG